GCCTCTCTGCTCCTATGATGCTGCTTGGCCTGCTGTGTTCATCCAGCTCTTCACATGTGAGTTGTTTTGTTAAGTGCAATGAGTCTACATATATCAGTGTTGATTTACCACTAAAAAAAGTTTGCATTAATGTCAGCTACATTACAAATCTGACGCAAAATTTGAACATTCCACTAATAAATCTTCTGAGACGTACTGTTTTGCGTACAATCAATACAAACTTTTAGCTTTTGTTTGTACCTTGCAGCCATCTCAACTAACTTGGTATAAAGGCTGGTCTCAGTGTTCCACACTGGGGAAGGTTTCAACTAGAATTTCTGCTTCTGATTGACAATCGCAATGATAACTAGCAAGTATTAGTTGAAAAGAACATCAGTCAAGGTCGAGTTCCTCCACATTATCAGACTTTCCCCTAACTGTCTTGTTCTGTAACATGGAGAACATCTACTCTGCCACTTCCAGTGAGCTATGTTGCTGATGGCAATTGTAGTGCCGATGCCCTTGGAAATATGTCCCAATGAGAATCAATATTTTGAGGAAAGATGGAGCAGTTTATAAAGGCTTTAAGATCACAGCAAATGCTTGTGGTCCAATCGGTCTATTTAACATCAAAGGGGTGCAAATTCCGTTAGTTTATGAATCTTTTATTGATTAAACAACTCAGGTTATATTAAATCTTAACATGTGGTCTAAAAAAAATGATTTGACACTCACCTTGTACGAAATGTTTCTCTGTTGTGCAACTTCAGATATTTTTTCTACAAGTGTTTGTAATCGTTGTTGGGTTGCATGTGATACAAAATTTACTACATCAGGATGAACGTCAGTAATTCCATGTTTTTTACCTATTCCCAAAAATAGTTAAAATACCTTTAGATAGGTTAAATATTCTTAGCTGTATTAATATAGCTTTCCCCTTGTACTAATGCATATTGTCCTTTCAGCTCAATACAATAACCGCAAGCTGCACTTGGCTAATTGTGAGTAAAACTTAAGATGAAAACAGTGCACAAGTGTTTTGTGATCACTAGTTGCTTTATTTAATTGGTTATTCAATCTTGGTATATGTTTGTTAAATAAATATACATATTTGAAGCATACTTAGCTGCGTCGTGTATGTAACCAATAAAATTACTGTACGTGGCTAAAACAGTCTTGACCATAACTGTTGCTAGTTAGCAATTTTAAGTGGACAGCACTTGGCAGATTAAGCTCTGAAACTTATTTTCCACTTATAGATTTTAGTATTTTGAAGTTTCTTTTATAAAAGGTTATGTCAGAAATCTTCCTTAAAAAGGTACTTCCAAACATTTCTTCAATAGCACGTCCCAAATCTGTGACTTCTCCCATCTACATACAAGCGCAGTAAGTACATGGGAACACCATCACTTCCAACTCCTTCATTTCACAGACATTGTAACTTGGAAATGTATCAGCATGGTTGGGTCAAAACCATGGAACTCCCTACTTATTGGTACTGTATGCAGTACCTTCAATGCACATTGCATGGAACACCTTCTTCAGTAGCACTGTAGTTGTACCTACAGCATCTGGACTGCAGTAGTTCAAGGTGACTCATCACCATTCTCTCAAGAGGAGTTATGGACGGGTAATAAATACTGGCCATGCCAGTAAGACCCACGTTCCATGAATGGGCTTTTAAAAATGTTTGAAAGAGGCCATGTTTATAAAACAAGAATCCCTATTGTACTGGTTCTTTCACAATGTTTGCATAAGTAAGTAGCCAGTGTGAAAATCAATTAATATCTCTTTACCTATTTCTAACATTCTTCTGTGCAACGGTGCAGCAAACAGGAATGCCTCATCTTTACACGATCTCGTCAGAGTCCCCACCAGTTCTGAATTTGTTGCCAAAATGCGTGCACTTTCTTCTGAAAGGTTAACTCCGGCCATAGACGCCACATCATTAATATCATCATCATCCCTAGAAAATTTCACACCTACACATTAATGTCAGTACAAAAGCTAATCTACAGGTTAGCAATTTGTAAATTTCAATGGACTATTCAACGAGACACACAGATTTGATGAAATGCATTTATCTAGTTAACAAGGAAGGAAGAGTTCCCCATTTAGATTGTTCCTGTTTAACAATGCAAGCAACCTTCTGTAATGGATCACCCCACCAGCATGCCAGGTAATTCCTTCTCTTAGAACACTGCAGAGTACCACAATCACAAAGACAGTAATCGGCGAAGCAGAAGGACCAACACAGCTCTCAATGTAACCAGGATCAGGAAAGGTATATGGCCCTGCACTATTATTCACATTACAAAGATTAAAACAAAAGGCCAGTTCTTTTTCTTCCTAACAGGAACTGGCTCACTTCTGCCACTTGCTTGGTGTATGACACCAGCTGTTGTTTCCTTGAGAGCTAATTCAAAATCATTAATTGATCATGTGCTAATCCACCAAAAAGCATTTACACATGTTGAGCATCCAGATTCAGAATACAGTTCTAATGAAGTCCGACTTCTAGTAACCTGATAAAGGGCCAAGGATGAAAGTAATGTTTATTTTTAAAGAATGGCAGTTGGAGATGGGATATTGTTATTAAAAGGAATGTTGTGATATAGGTTTTAAGGAGATGCAAATATTTACTAGATAAAGTACTGTTTTCAACAGTAATCGTTTCTATATTAAATATCACTTATTTCTTCCAGAGGTATTGCTTAAATATCTCACCTGAAAGAGCCACTTGCTGCTGCTGCTTCTTTAAGTTTATTTTTTTGAACAACAGAAGTCTGGACAGAGTAAGTCAAACCAGCTTTAGTTCCTGGCACCACTGTCTGTTTCATAACAGGAACTGTAAAATTATGGAGAAAGTTATGTTAAACACTGTGGCCAGTGAGTTTCTCCAACTCCATTAATCACAGTATTTTACTTGTCACTGAAGTTTCTGAGTCTGGTTACCTAGGCTCAAACTTGCAGATACAAATGCCCACTTGCATCACTTTACATACACTACATATAAATTCTGTCAATTTAAGGATAACAACAGCAAAACTGCATTTGTACCAAGTTTGCATTAGCAACCGTCATGGTAGATCACCTTGTACGAGGTTGTCTGCACCAGTGCTCACCATGAAGTAGGTTTGTTAACACCATCCTTTTTCAGAATAGGGATTGTCTGGGCCCCCTTGATCTAACATGGTAGAGGAAAACCATTTGGTAGTCTCGTGAAGATACTTGTCTCAAACAAAATACACTTATTCTGTGACAGTGACGATGGACAAGTTACGTTCATGTGATAGACATGATTACAGAAACTATGAAGCACCTAGATATTGGTCTTATTCATTTGGGATCCTACACTGTTCTCTCAGGAGGCTGTATGCCATTATAGTGGATAGTGCTTGTGGCACTTCTCAATATTAACCCTATCAGACTCTTACATCCCTATACAACAGCAACTTCAATGAAGTACCTCTCCTAAATATTATCTGGTATTAATAACGGAAGTTCCTTAATGTGTAAACACCTCACTTATTCTGGTTACAAAATAAGCTCCAAAGCTTTTCAGAAAAAAAAACTGAAAATGTTAGTAAAGTCTATACAAGTCTCTAAAAAATATTAATTTCATCAGTTTTACTGTTGTGCAGTTCTATGTACGTTAGAGGGAATGCTTATGATTTATCTGGGATGCTGATGTTATGATGCCTTTAACATACATGGCAGACTTTGGCGCAAGATAGATGTGGGCAGAAGAAGTTTGGATGAGGTGAAATTTACAGAAGGTGGAGTATAGAAGATAGTGTTATTAAAATAACTGGCTGTGAAAATAACAAAGAACAGGTTGCAGGCTTTTGCAGCAGATGATATAAGAATGAGAGGGAGGCAATGTTACAAAGATGGAAGCAGGTATTGTTTATGATGAACAAGACATGGAGTCAAATAGATAGCTAAAAATCTGCTTTATCATGGTGGAGGTTTCTGTTTTCCCAATGTTTATGTGGAGAGAAACATGATCTATCCAAAACTGGACATAGTTTAATTGAATTGACACTGATACCCAGTTCTCAAGACCACATCTTTCTCAGCAAACAGAAACTGATCTTTTTCTACAATGGTGTTACCAAGGGCAAAAATGCAAAAGGAAGAAATGAAGGACCAAGATGGATACTTGTTTTTGGACATCCATGAACAATATGTGCAACAATAGGAAGGAACACCCCTGCTCTCACTACAATAAGACTACAAAGAAAGAAGTCGATAAGGCACTTCTTTCTGTGGATTAAGGTTAGAATAAATGATTGGTCACACTGAAAAAAAATTCCTCATTACCAAAACTGTTTCTGTAAACAGAAAAAGCAAAGAAGGATGTCTACTTTGATCAGCCTCTGAAAAATATTTGTCATGATTTCTGAATTCAATCATTTATGTATAATTTGTCTTTCGGTCTGTTGTTTTTAAATGTTGATGCTATGCAATAATTTGAGTACATTACCACCTGGCATTGTTATTGTAGAGAACATTTAACATTTTCACACCAAATTTCACTCTGCATCACTCCATGCTCAAACCAAAAATACTTTGCACTGTTAACTAAAAGTTGTAGTTTGAAGTTTCTAGGACATTCTATATTTTAGTCTGAAAGTTCAGGGCCAGTGTTTTTGATGAAATAATTCTTATCATAGGATTTATTACCTATGGTGCTTAATTTAAAGTGAATTGTTTCATAACTTTAGATTTAATTCATTTGTCTGATAACTACAGCTGACTTGACTTCCTAAAGGTAAGCTTTTAAAAGCAGCATAAATTTTATATCAAAAATGTACTTTGGATAATTAAAATCAAGACTACTGCATACAAATATAACAGGAACCAAAATTCCATAAAAATTGGCAATGCTAGGGGAAGTAAAGGTGATGTATAAATTTGAGGTTGATGCCTGCTGGATTCATTGTTCTCGTTACTATGCTTAGAATATGCAAATAAGCCAGTCACTGCACTTAAAAAGCAATCATGCATTAAGTTAGGATTGTGAACCTTTGAAAGTTCCACCCCAGACAGCCCAAGGCGCTTAGTCATTGAGGGCATTTAAGATGATTGACAGCAATAGGTTTTTGGACATGAAGAGAATCATGGCTAGAGCTGGAAAGTTGGACTTGAGGTAGAAGAAATGACATGATTTTACTGAATGATGAAGCAGGCTCAAAGCAGCTGCCAGATCTCCACATTCTCCCATCTTCTTAAATGCTTTGAAATGCTTCAATTCTGTCAATATATGCTCAACGATTTCTTCATTTCCTAACAACAACTGAATTGCAACTTGCAATATGTGATTCACAAGTGCAGTAGTCACTATATTTGTTTTACTTTTAAAGCCAATTAGAATTTGATGACCAATTCAGACAGTTAGTCTCCGCTCTACATATAATTTAAAAGGGCTTCTTTAAAAATAAATAAAAATACTTAATTATCAGTTCCAATTCGTTTTAAGTACCATAGTAATAGGAGCACAAGCAGGTCAATCAGCACTTTAAGCGTGTCTCACCATTCAATAAGATCATGCCTGACCTGCCCCAGGCCTCAACTCCTCTTTTGTGCTGGTTCTTCATAGCTTCAGCTCCCCAATATTTCAAAACAATGTATTTACCTCTGTAAATACTTCCAATCATCCAGCCTCCAACAACTCCCTAGCGTAGAGTATTCTAGACATTCAACACTCTTTGGGAGAAGAAATTTCTTTTGCATCTCAGTTTTAAATGTGTGCCTCCTTATTCTGTATTTATATCTCCTACTGATGGAAAGATCTTCTCAACCTCTAAAGCTCCCTCAGAATCTTGTATGTTTCAATAAGATCACCCATCATTCTTCTAAACTTGATCGACTAAAGGCCTAAACTGTTTAGCGTTCTTGATAAATCAAAGTCTTCATCTTGGAAATAAGCCAATGAATCTCTTTTGAATTGCTTCTAATGCCAGTTTATCTATTTTCAAATGACAGACCAAAACCATTAACAGCACTCCAAAACTGGCTTCACCACCATTCTTTATAGTTGCAATAGGCACGGGACAAAGAAATATACTGAACATTCACAGATTTATGTGAGGAGGTCTAAATTGATCTGCAGCCTTAATGTTTCCATATTTTATTTTAAGGAAGGTTAAAAATATTAATATTTACCTGTTTGAAGTTGCTTCAATTGCACCTGTGAAGAGCCGGTCAGCATGATGCGGTTCTGAGGTTGTCGAAGTGTCACCATGGGTGTTTGAGTCAGTGTTACCTGCGGCCTGACGACTGTTCCTTGCTGCTGTTGAACAACCTTAAGGCAAACACACACGTTGATTTAAATGGAAATCTAAATAATTCTTTTTTAAATCTCAGGTGATAATGATGATCAGTCTTCAGCAACGACTGTAAATACCCAAATCAAGAAAATTAGGTTGACAAAAATGAGTACAAAGCAAACAATTCTATATGTAGGCTATATAAAAGGAATACTTGAATGATGTTCGGAGTGTATTTAGCTTCTTTCTGAGTAAATCCTGTGTTTTACCACACCAACTGTGTTGTGCTCCCACAACAAGCAAGGAGATAATTTCAGTTTCAGATGTTATTTTTGAAAAAACAGTTCTAAAGTGAAAAAATATTGATCCAAAAGACATATACCATTGCCACTTAGGCCATCTGAGACGACTCTTTCTGGATACTTCCTGGCTTCATTTTAAGTTTGCTCAGTTATGGCAGAAGCATGAAATGCAGTAGATTAACTTTTGGATAAACGTTCTATCTTAAGCAGCCATCTGGATGCTTTAGGGAAGGAAATCCTTTCCAGATCTGGAAAATATGTAACTCCAGATCTGCAACAATATAGTTGATTCTGAACTGCACTTTGAAATGATCAAACACACCAATCAGTTGCATTCAAGAAGGCAGCTCACCGCCACTTACTCAAGGGCGATAAAGTTTGGACGATTAATGTTGGCTTTCCCAGTGATGTTCACACCTTGAGAATGAATGAAAAGAATTCTAATATTCCGCAATGCAATGGTCACACAATATTGTGAAATAATTAAAATTGTGACTGCCAATCATTTCCCCACAGAGATCAGTAATGCTTTAGTTTGGAATGGGACACTGATGTTTTTTTTCCCTAAAAGTAGTCGGAATACTTATTATTAAAAGAATTTTAAAACTAGTAGTTGTAATTAAAGTAACTAAACACTTTCGACAAATATTTTAATCATTTAGTATTCGGTAATTTGAAAAATATTTTTACAGACTTTTTAATATTAAAACGATATTTATTCAATTCCACAAATAATAGAGTCATTGAGCATGGAAACAGATCCCTCAGTCAACCTCATCCATGCTGACAAGGTTTCCCAAACTAAATTAGTCCCATTTGCCTGCATTTGGCCCATATCCCTCTAAACCTCTCTTACTTATGTGCCTGTCCAAATGTCCTTTAAATGCAACTGTACCTGTATCTACCACTTCCTCTAGCCTTAACTGCATTTAGTCAGGCAGCAAACTAAAAAGAATTGAAAGAGTACCTTAAATTTTACATGTCTGGTACTGCTCAATCATTTCATATTCCCGTATTATAGTCTAACATAAAAGTTTCTCTCACCTAATGACAGCCTAAGCCAAGTGCTACTAACAGTTTTCTACATATTGACCAGAAATGTAACTGTACCAGCCATATACTTACTGAAATAAAACAGCAAGCTAGAGTCTGAGAATTTCATGTCAAATAACTCAATTTCTGACTTCCTAAAACCTGTCCACTACCTACAAGGCACATGTCAGATGTGAGATTTAACACTTCCCACATGCCTGAATGAGGCAGGAAAGCTCACAATAATCCAAGATAAGCCATCCCACCTAAGTGCCATCCAATCCACCACTTTAAACATTCACTCCATCCACCAATTGCAAACAGTTGCAGCAATGTGTACCGTCTACAAGACACACTGCAGCAACTCAATAAGACCCGATAGACAATACCATACAAACCTGTGACCTCCATCATCTTGAAGGACAAGGGCAGCAGATGCATGAGAACACTACCACCTGCAAGTCATTCACCATACTGACTTAGAACTATAATCGCCTTTCCTTCAGCGTTGCTGGGTAAAAAAACTTGAAACTCCCTCCCAAGCTGTACTGTGGGTATACCTACAGATTGTGGACTGCAGCAATTCAAGAGGCACTTCATCACCACCTGCTAAAGTGCAGTTCAATAAATGCTGGTCTCGTCAGTAACCCTCACATGCTAAAAACAAATTACTAAATTAGTTGTTCAACAACTCAGCTTTCAAGCCAAAAGACTTTATTTAATCTGTGTGAGGTTATCTCGAATGGGCAGTTCTGAACAAAATATGGTAATAAGAATACCTGAAATATGCTAAATGCATATGTGTTACACTTGATCCTTATGTAGCAGCTGTGTGGATTGGTCTTACCTTGCCAGTTTGCACCGATTGTCCAGGCTGTGTCAAACTTAGCACAGGATGTTGGAGGGTGCTAGTTACTGTAGCTGTAGCAGTTGTTGTCCGCACTACTGGTCGCTGTTGAACAGTATTTCCCAGTACCACTGCTGTCAATGCTGTTGTAGTCTGAGTTGAGGATTGCTGTTGACTTTGCTGAATAAAAGCTTGCGAGTCTTGAGTGAGTTGGCGCAAGGCTGGCAAACTCCGCTGGGAAAAACACAGAATGGTTAAACATTTGCACTAATCCTATTTTGAGTTTACAAATTACTTCGCCCTGTGTAATTGAACTTGTACTAACTGGATCATCTGTTTTTAAAATGCTACCAATTCTTGTATTTTTTGTTGAAATCAACCAAACTATTTATTGATTCCTTATGCTCTAGCAGCAGGATTAGCCTCATTTCTGAAGGATTAGTTTCATTATGCGTCATTTGTTGGGGATGGAGGAATGAAAGAAACTTTGAAAATAAATAATTTTGTCATGAGTACGGTATATTCAAGATGGCATTTTTTAACCATCAGTCTGATGGATTAAGTTACTCTTATGGACAAAATTTGACAATTGCTTCAATGACGTTAGGAAAACTATTGTAACCAAAATTCTTGAAAAGTGTTTTAACCAAAAAGAGAAAAATACCAATACTTTCAATAAAATGCACATCCTTGTTGTCCAAAAGTTTGAGTAGTGAAAGATTTGATTCTGAATACCATAACAGAGAGAGCCTAGTATTGAGAAATATTTTTGTAGAATGTAACCTAAACTAAACCTGAGAATACTTTCACAAAAACGCACATGTTTCCAGCATAATCCTTGCATTTCCAAACCAATTTAATTCCCATATACCAGGATGTGTAATTTAATTCCCACTGACCAGGACAAACGAATAGTCACAATTATTGCCACCAAATATGAAAAATTTGGTAAACCACACTAAGATAAATAATTAAGTACCTTCAGGAAAGGCACGAGATAGGGTTGAGGTGAGGAGTTGAGCTCCCTATATAACCGGCTCGTGAAGTCTTCTGCTTCAATTTTTCCATCCTGTGAGAAGAGGAAGAGAAAGTTAAGATCTTCTGACTGAGACAAGGGCGAGTATTGAGAAGGTCACAGTGGAGAAATCCTCCCTGCATTTGATCAACAGATTGGAGCTGGTGTGGACCAACTCTCATGTGTTGGGAAATTGGGTGAATCTGCCCTCAGACGTCCCCAAATTGCTTGGGGAAAATCCATTCACAGGGGCAACCAGAGAAAAGTCACTCCTGTAAGTAGAAAGGAAGAAAATGATGAGCAGCTGCTCCTCCAATCACAGGCCATTCTCTCCCATACTTGCTGTTGATACTTAGTAGTGAAGTAAAGTGAATGGAAGAGCAACAGGCTGTTATGAAAGTTAAATGATGGCAGTGAGGGAATCATTCAAGTTGCCTTTAGCCAAGGGCAGGGTTAGAGGCTGCCTTGATCAGAGGCAGGGGTCAGAAGCTGACTCATTCAGAGGTCAGAATTGAGAGGTGCCTTTGGCTGAAGCTGGGATCGGAGGCTATCTTGTGGCCTTTTGCAGTGTCCAAGAATTCTGTTTGCTGGGATTGGGGTGTCTTTTGGGAGTGAGCATGTGTGGGAGAAAAGGAAGAGGCAACTGCAAGAAGGTTGTGGGAAAAAGAGGAGTTTGCAAAATGAATGTGGGGGGAGAAGGCAGCTGCAATTAGGGGAGGTGCTAAGGAGAGGGACTGGTTTTAAAACTGTAAATAAATGAATACTCAGCTAGCTGGCATCCAAGAAAACTTTAAATCACCAAAATAATTAACTCCTTGCAAATGAAGGTGTAATCTCTAGGTTCAGGCAACGTAATGTCAAAAGATACCATACTTTGAGAAATGCAATGGATCTGACTGAAACACTCTTAATTATTAAACTTAAAGCTCAGCTCGAGATGCAGCAAAAATGATTTTAACAGCCTGATTAAAATGTTCCAGCTTCGTGCACATTGTTCGGAAAAACAGATTACAAAGTATTTCTTCAATATAAGTGTTGATGTCCGAAGGAACTTAGGTTTCCTTCATAATAAATCAATGAAAGCTAATATGCGCGTGCAGCAAATCATTAGGAAAAAATGGCCTACTGTCCTTTATTACAATAAGATTTAAATACAAGAGTAAAGAAACCTTTGTAAAATTGTATAGAACCTTGGTGAGCGCATATTCAAAATACTGAGTACAATTTAGGTTTCCTTACCCAAGGGCGAATATATTGGCCATTGAGAAGAATTAGAGGTGGTCTTTTTGAAGGTCATAAAATTCTTTATAGAACAGATACAGGATAGAGTACATACAGGAAGGATGTTTCCCTGGCTGGGTTCACTAGAAACAGGAATGCAAGAATTACCTAACAGAAGTTGGGACAAGGGCGGCACTTTCAGGATGACAACCTGTAACTAATGGAGTTCCACAAGAATCAGAGTTTGGGACAAAATTATTTGGAAAAATTTAAAGTTATGCACAATGGCAGGAAGACTAGAGGAGCTGAATATTATTTAAACAGAGAAAGACTGCATAAAGCTATTCTGCAGAGGGATTTGGAAGTCCTTGTGCATAAATCTCAAAATGCTTGCATCCACATTTAGCAGGTAATAGGGAAAGCAAATGGAATGTTGGCCTTTATTTCAAAGGGAATGGAGTAAAAAACTAGGAAGGTTTTGCTAAAACTATGCAAGGCACAATTCAGACCACAGCTGGAATACTGTGAACAGTTTCAGAGCCCTTATCTAAGGAAGAACATACTGGCATTGGAGGCAGTCCAGAGAATATTCACTAGACTGATCCCAGGATGGAGGGTCTGTCTTATGAGGAGAGGTTGAGTAGGTTCGACTTGTATTCATTGGAATTTAGAAGAATGAGAGACAACCTAATTGAAACATAAGATTTTTAGAGGACTTGACAGTTTAGATGTGGAAAGGTTGTTTCCCCTTATAGGAGAATCTAGGACCAGACGGCATAATATCTGAATAAGTGGTTGCACATTTAAGACAGAGCTGTCGAGGCTGGGTCACCAAAGGAATCAAGCATTACAGAGAAAAGGGAGGAAAGGGGAGTTGAAAATTATCAGAAATGATCTCATTGAATCGTGGAGCAAGTCCAATGGGCTGGATGGCCTGCTCACGTTCCCAAATCTTATGGACACAGCCTGAGAATATGAGATAAGCCATTTAGGACTAAGAGGAGGAAGAACTTCAATGGTACTGAATCTTTGGAAACTCAGTTGCTGACTATTCAAAACACAGTTCAATAGATTTTTAGGTACTAAAGATGTCAAGGAATAAAAGGATAATGTGGTAAAATGTCATTGAGTTAGAAGTTAAGCCATGATCTAGGTGAATGGCAGATCAAGCTCAAGTGGCTGAAAGGAACTAAGAACAGAAATAGGCCATTGTGTGCCTTCTCAGTGGATAACTTTAAGGAACAAGAATAGGAAACACAATGGCCAGCTCTAATTTAACATCAATTGGTAAAGAACTACCAATGACATGTTGAAAATGTAATGACTAGAAGATCCTTAAACTAATAATCACTATACATATGACTCCTCTCTTGCTGGTACAGATTGATAACGAAAGATGCAGCCTCTGCACTTGCACCAAAAATGGTAAAGTACTGTTTCTGACATACTTAAGGAGTATGGCATAATACAGTATAAGGCTTTCAAAATTGAGATTAATTGAAAACATTTAAAGGAATTTACTCAAAAACTTAAAACTTTTCTTTAAGAGTGGAGGGTGAACATATAGTTAAGTGAAATGTACTAATTGCAAGTATGAATAATGCAACTTTTAAAAGCTGTTAGACATGTTCACTTAATCTGTATATCGTCGTCTCTGTAGAGAAGCTCTCATGTGAAATCTGTTTTGTGTGCATAACGGATAACTTTCCTGTATAATGCTGAGAATTACAGCACCAATATTTTGCTTTGAGGAAAATTGACAAGATTCCAAATTTCAGGTGCAAGTAGTGATTCTTTATCCCTTGACTATTTAATTAAGTATTTGGTACATCCGTGGCTTGTATGATACATTGCTTCACTTAACGTGTTTCAAAACTCGAAACTATCATAACCATAAAGGTTTAAAGAACAAAAGCCAATTAACCCAGTGCTGGTGTTGCTAGTACAATTCAAAATGAATTTCAATATCATGCTTTCCACTCCCATCCCACCCTCCCCATATTCTGTATTGAATTCTATCTAAAATATGTTTAGTTACTCTGTTCTGAAACGATACTGCTCTATCTCAATTTCCCTCATGATATATTATTCTATCCTCTCTAACAACTCTACATAAAGATTTTGTTTCTTTGTTTTGCCTATGGTACACATTCACCTTCAACTCAGAAGCAAGTGCGTTTAGTTGAGATAGTTTTCTACTTAAAGAAAATTAATGCAGAAAGGTTTATACTATATTTCTCACCAATAAGTTTTGCACAAGTTCTTTAACATTGGCAGCTGTTTCTGTTGACTGTTTACCACTTGAAGCTAGTTTGATCAGCGTAGACAGAAAGTTCTTGCACTTCTTCACATTTTCCATGGTTTCCTGTGGAACATAATAAGGATTTAATGAAGGGAAAAGTACAGCACCATATAATTAAAAACATTTTGTATTCAAAGTTTACTTTACATGTTGAAGAGTCATTTGTGGGATAGTAGGTAACTTCAGATCTAGTATAAAGTAACTTTCATACATTTTGCATTTTGCTTCAAAATCAGAAGTTTTCCAACTTGCTAACATTTGAAAATAACTGTGCAAATATGATTTTTTTTGTGAAGGTTGGTATAGTTCCAGTTGTTGGCAGCCTTTTAGGCATTGCATTAGTATCGTACTTTTAATTGTAGGAAAATATCCCAAAGCATGACACAAAGTTGTAATCAAACAAGAGTCAGCAGCAAGCCAACGAAGATGACATTAGTGATGACTAAAAGTTTGGTGAAAGACAGATTTTTAAGAAGGAAGGGTCTTAAAAATATGGAAAGGAAAAGAAATTTCAGCAGGAAAATTCAAAGCTTCAAGTCTAGACAACTGAAAGCTTGCGCCTATGGTGGGGTGAAGGGCCTGATGGATTGGTAAGTTGAAGGGTTGTGGAAATAGGAAGGCTGTCGAGATAAAACTGGAAAAGAGCATGGACAGATTTGAACACAATGCAGATTTTACATTTAAGATGTTGGTGGACCAGTAGACTTTTATGTCAACATCATAAGGGTGATGGGTGAACTGAACCTCCTGTAGGTTTGAATGGGAGTTTGGAGTTCTGGATGAAATTCAATCTGTGGAGGATGGAGATTGACAAACTAGGAAAACAATAAAACAGGAGATTCAACATTGACAAAAGCATTTAGAAGATGGGCTCAGACCCGTGTGAAGACAGACAGAGACAGTAGGAACTGCAGATGCTGGAGAATCCGAGACAACAAGGTGCAGGGCTGGATGAACACAGCAGGCCAAGCAGCATCTATGATGCTGCTTGGCCTGCTGTGTTCATCC